CATACGTAAACATAACTAACTTCCACCTTACTGTATGCAACAAGAGGAATAACTGAACAGATAAATCGTTTTTTACATGTGAAAGTAAATTTGTAATAGTTCCATCATTCGATCAGTTAGATCACTGTGTAAACAATTCTTCGTTTAAATGAACGAACTTTTTATTTTGGGATAATATCTCTCCATAAAAGTTGTTCTTGTAATCATTCTCACAACAGGAACAAATTTCGAAGAACATTCTAGCAAGATAGCAAGAAGCATTAAGATTGCTCAGTGATGCTATATCGGGAATTCATCATTTTCGTTGGTATTTTAGCAGGTAATGCTTTTTGTTAAACATTTATTGCATAATTCTTTATACGGTATTCAAAATTTCAAATGATTTCTAACATTCGTCTAGCATAATAGCTAAAAGAGTTGCTCATTAATTAACAAACAAATAAGGGTCAATAAAAGGATTACAGGTCAATTGATGAAGGTTAGTAGGAAGTGGCTGAAGTCTGCAAAGCAAGCAATAATTTTTTTAGAAGTTAAAAATGTAGAGCTTATGTTAATGTTTCACTTACTGCATTATTCTTTTTAAATATCCAAATGTAATCTGTGGATTATTAATTAACTCATCTTGGAAAAAGAAGCAATTTAACTTAATTCTATCATTAAGAATTTTTTTTATATGTGCAAAAATATATGCATACAATAGAAAGTTATGGAAAGAAGCAAAAGCAACAATTGCACGATCAGAATTATTTCAGCTAAAATTCCAATTTTTCAGTGACAAATTGTCAAATTTGTTGCTTTGCTTGCTACTGTCCAAGCCCAGCAGAAGTTTATGTTATATTACCAAACTATGGACCTGCTGGAGGTCATACAGGATTGAGAGCGAGTTGTAAGTGTTATTATCAGAAATTTTAATAGAGCAAAACGTTAGCCACAAAATTTCCTTTTCCAATTCACTTCATCAATCTGTTACTTGTAGCTTAATTAATTTCAAATTACGAAAATATCTGCCTATGCTTGTTTAATTCACAATTACACTTTCAACTGTACAGTTAAATTTTATAAAGGAAGCCTAATTTTATTTGATTAAAACCAATAATCATGGATAATTTTCGCTTTTTACAGAAAGTTAAAAATATGAAATAAGAAATTTGGAACTGCATAAAGAGTTCTAAAATCAGTGACGAGTAAGATAAAACATTTAGAGAGAGTCATTATTGGTAATGAAATGTAAAAAAGCATTTGAAATTATCAGAGTTGTCACATATATATACTTCAATTTTTCCAGATGGACCAGCGGTTAATGGTTTATGTCCAGTTGGCGTCAATATTGGTGGTCAGTGTTATGCATAAGGTGATTGATCAATATCAGCAGTGTATTTGGTTTGATCAGCAGGAAAAGATGAAATTTCTCATGTTAACTGCTTTTATCTTGTATATGTTATTTTAAGAGTTTAAAAAACTGGACTATAAATTTTCAAAGATAATTTCATTGATAATCCGCGTTATTAGAAAGTAATTTTTTTGTTTTCTGAGTGATATAAGACCTAAGGTTGCATCCAACTATCAATATATTTACCTTTCATCGTTACTTAACTGTAGCAAGTAAAGGAATCAAGTTTCGTTTAAGATTGCAAAATGTGTTTAATTAAACTAATAGACTTGTGCGGACTCGAAACAAAAACAAGGTTTCGAGTTTGCATGAGCTAATTATCTTAATTGAACATATTCTAATCTCCTAAACCTTAATATTGCTTGACTTGGATAGATCCATTTCGACTTTCACACTTGAAACTTAGAAATAATTCTGTATGATGTGAAGTCAAAAAAGTATTACGCGGTTTCATCGGCTTGCCCATTTAAGCATAAAACAGTAATTAACTGTTGTTTTTCATTTAAAATTCCGATTTTTACAAGTTTTACAATATTTCAAAATGCAAATACAAATAGGGAAATTTGAGATTCAATTTTTCTGTAGACACTTTAAATATGAGTTCAGATTTTAATTCCATTACATTTACTGTCATTTCAACTAAATATAGTGTCGGGAAAACCGAAATTAATTCTTAACTATAATCAAATAATTGTATTTCTCTTTGAGGAATTGTATAATCAAATGATTGGCAATTTAAAAGAATTTCGTAATGATTCATCATTTGTGAACCCATTTAAATGTAAAAAAAAATTTTACAACGTTTCATATAACTAGCAAATTCTCATCGTAAAAACTATACCACATCTAAATGTTCATCCAAATATTTCTATCTCATTTCCAAATTTAAGCTAATCAAATGATTAATCTTAACATTTGCTTGTTTATCCTTAACATTTCTCTTGTAAAATCATTCTTTCCCATAGCTATCTTTGTAACTAATCTAGCTGTATCATAACACGCCCATTAAACTCATCATGTTTAAGAATTTAAATACACTCAAAATGTTCGAAAAAAAGGAAATTGCACATTCAATTCTCACTTTGTTTTCATCT